AACAGCTAGTTTTTGTGGATGTTTCATTACTTGATATACAAATTCATGATGAATACAAGTGAGAGGAGATGGAAATGATATTTGAGTATTATTCAATGATTGCACGAGTAATCTTTCATTTGGTAATGTAAATGATATTTCATAGATTGATTTATTCATTTGATTATCAACAAACATAAATAATTGTTTCAAGATTGAATAAAATCGTTGAGATATCTTATCAGCTGTTTCTACATTAAATAAATCAAGTGATGCATTGACTGTGCATGACAGTTGATTGATGTTCATATCATGATAAACAGAAAGAGAGAAGTCTAATGCACTTAAAATTTCATAATTATTACTGTTAAATGAAAAAGATGCTGGAACAATTTGAGAGTCACCAATCATAACGACATCGTTGTCTTTGTGACTCTTGTATGATATAAATTCCAGAGATGTATCCAAAAACGCATGTTTTGAGATATGTGGATGTTGATTGAGAATACGTTGAACAGGGAAATATGAATATTTCATACTATTTGTTGTTACCTCTCGGACATGTTTGAGTAGTTGATGAAAACACCATTGAGAATCTAATTGACACCGTAATGGAATGATATTCTCAAACAATCCAATGATTGATTTGAGTTCATCTCTATATCGATTATTATTGATGTTCATAGAAATACATAGATCTGTTTGTCCGTTAGTTAGTTTAAATAGAAAGATGAAATAAATAGCAAATGTGAGATATTCAAGTGATATGTTGTTTGATGATGCATGAATAAGAAAGTCATGTGAGAGATCTTGACCAATATCAAAACAAATCGATGTTCCACGACCAGTTCGATGTTCATTTGTGAGGCGATACCGATCAAATGGTAATGATAAAGGTTGGTCGAGTTTACAATCATGAAGAGCATCAAGCCAAAACATACTTGCACTAGTCATTGACATTTGTTGTTCAATAACAGCATCTACATAGTGAAAGAGAAGAATATATTAGACAAGAGAAAAATACAAGAACTATTTATATTTACAATCGAGATAACGAAGATTAGTGTTGTCATTATTGAGAGGTAGTTGACCTGTTGTATATGCTTGATTGAGATCATGAAGAAAGATATTCATTGATGGAAAATCAAATAGAGCATGATGAAAGTTGAAGATAAGTACATCTTTGTGAGAAAGAAGATGATCCGAAGAAATTTGTTTGTAGTAAACAAGATGGCATCGAAAGACAAGACCTTGAGTAAGATCGAAAAGTTGAGGATTATATCTTTCGTCGTGGAAAATCTCATGAAGTTGTTTATCTGTTTCATAGATGCTTTCAATAAATGTAAATAGTTGTCTGTTATTATCATTCATATCAATGATTTGTTGCATGAATCGATTGGTGTGTGTATGAAATATGAGTGATGTTCGAAGAGATTCATGTTTTGTGACTATTAGTTCGAGAGCATGACGGAGATGTTTTATTGATAAAGTATGATACAAGTACAGAGAATAAACAAAAGGTATATTGTAGATTGGTACTTGTGATATGTGAGGAGTGAAATGAATAGATTCATTATTGCATAGTCGAATTTGTGCAAATGATGCTGGTGCTATATAAAAGAGAAGGTAATGAAATATGATTAATAATATTGGTTGTGACATTTATTTAGAGTTATACAAAAGTTTCACTGATGACATGAATCCATATTGTAAGCGAAAAAATGACGCTCGAGTCAGAAATGCTATTTTTCAAAATGTACAGAACACAAATCGTAGGAGATTTTACCCTATGACATAGTCATCTACCGGAAAACCATCTGAAATAATAGATTTATGTTGGTATATATGAGAAAAATCTTGAGGATAGCTGTAGGTATGGATACGAATATGAACAAATAATCCACATCCATCCATAGTCACACACTTACCCTATAGTTGAGTACCGCTTCTCGGATAATCCAAGCGATATAAAAAACAAATCCTCGATCATATCTCTGTACAATGCATTCATTGTCAATATAAATGTTCATCAAGGAAAACTTTATGTCTAGCTCAACATACCTTCGTTTATAATATGTGATTGTCGACAAAAGATAACATCTTCCATTTCTTGAGTTTCTTCTGGTAGAATAAGATTAATTTTCAAGACAGATGTAACACATGTATCGATTCGATCAATAGTTTCATTCGATGAAAATAGTTGTTGAAAAAAATATTCTAATCTTCGACCTATATTTCTAACTGTGATCTCATCAAACAGATCATGTGAACAAGTTAAACGAAATGATAATCTATTATTTTCCAATACTGGATTATAGGCAAACATTAATATAAAATCAAACTTAGCCACTTCAAACGATCGTTCCAGTAACACTTGTTTGAAACTTGCTTCATCCAAAGATAATTCATCGCTCTGTGACGATACAGTTATAAAGTCATACACTGTTTCGAGAAATGAAATATTTGATTGGTTAATATGTAAATTAGCAAGAATATGTTGGAGTGGATAATGAGAATGTTCAAGAATTGATAAACATTTTTCTTGCACATATTTAACAAGATCATCAAATGAACAATGACGATCAAGTTGAAGACGATATGGTAATGTTGAAACAAACATTCCCATTATATTCTGAAGCTCAGTTCTATATCGATTAGCATTAAGACAAGAAATACACAAATCATTTTCACCATGACTTAACTTGAAAAGAAAAGCATATAATATAGTTAGACCCAACTGAAATGGTGTCACATGATGTATAGAAGCATAATCAAGAAATGATTGTGAAATCTCGTTATCAAAAGAGATTTGAGTGACAGAAGCAGAACTCGATCGGTGATCATTAGACAAACGATGTCGATCAACTGGTAATAATAATCGCTTTTCCAAATTGTATCCTTGTAATTGTAAATACCAAAATTCACGAGATGTTGTCATATCAATTAGACGTTCATGTATACTATAATCAATATATTGCAATGATTCATCATCTTCTATTGATATTGCATTAGTATTATAAGCTAAATATAGATCATTGAAAAAGATCGAAGTACTTGCTCGATCAAATGCTGCATGGTGAAAAGCAATGAGAAGAACATCAGAATTCATTATGTATTCATTGCTATTATTTTCATTTACATTGAATGATATTTGATGTCTCAGAATTTCAGCATGAAAAACACGACCAGTTGATAAATCGAAGAGAGTAGGATTAATAGTTGTTTGATAAATAATGTCTTGAAGTTCAATATCATTTCTAAATGTTTGATGCATAGTTATTGTGAATGTTTTATGTATTTCTGTGATACATTGTTTCAAAATACCATTATCATTGTTAAAAAGAAGAGATGTCCGTAATATTTTGTGTTTATTGAGAATATATCGAAATGCTTGTAATAAACGCGTTAATGATATTGATCCTTGAACAATTTGTAAAGTGGACAATTCATTATAGATAGCAATATCACTCGAAAAACGAACTTGTTGATCAAGAAAGATACGTTCTTGAGCAAAAGAAGCAACACCTGTGAGTTAAATAATAGAATTTATAAAAACTATTCTAATAATGTTCTAATCAGTATTTCTACCTTCATTTATATTTAATGTGTGCCATTGTGTTGCCGTGATATTACTCATTATAACTGTTTGAAGTAGCTGTGAATGTTGAAATATAGTTGGTTGTTGAAGAAATGGAGCAATCGAAAGTGTATGGGCATCAAAGTTAAATACTGATTGATAATGATGATAAAGTTCAATAAATAACAGTGAGTGACCACCAGCCCTGAAAAAGCTGGTAGTTCTGAAAATGTGATTTTCATCACAATGAAGAACTAGACACCAAATAGTGAGTATACGTTTTTCGAACTGATTAAGGGGAATATTCGATTTATCGGATGATAACGAAGTCGATAAAGAAAATCCAGGTGAAGGAAGTTGTTTTCGATCTACTTTTCCATTTTGATTCAAAGGTAGTTTATCAAGAATAATAAATATTGATGGAATCATATGTGGTGGAAGATGAGACTGACAATGTTGTCGAAGTTGTTCTTCATTTACACTATTACTCTTTTCTTCGACATAGGCAACAAGATAGTCATTGTTGCTATGTACTACTTTGACAACAACACACATTGCGGCAATACTCATAATCACTGATTCAATTTCACTTAATTCAATACGTTGTCCTCGAAGCTTCACTTGGTAGTCTTCTCTACCACCGTACTCAAGACAACGGGTTTTGGGATTGAAACATCCTAAGTCTCCTGTCTTATAGCAGAGTTCATTAATGATTTGACACATGACTTGTGCCGTTAACTCATTTCGATTACGATAACCGGTGAACACACCAGCACCTAGAGAAGCATCGGAAGAATGTGAACAATTTGCTCATTTGCGTTTGTGTAGAAAATGACTTACCTCCAATAATAATTTCACCCATATGCAAGCCTGGTATTATGGGTTGAAGATACTTGTCGACGACATAGATGTAAACATTTGCCATAGGCTGTCCCAGCGGTATAGAACCGCGACCAAGGTCGTCTTCTGTTATTAAATGTTCAACTGCTGCTTCTGTACATTCAGTAGGACCATAATAGTTGTAAATGCGGCAGTTATTTTTCAGGTAACGCTGCATATCTACAACAGTGCCAACGAATAACGACTCTCCTAACATTAGAAACGAAAACTTTCGCTAAAAACCTTCTACTTTCACAACTAGTTCAATACCTCCGGTTGATACACATCGAAGCGTTTCAAAAACATAATTTCGATTTGTAGTATTTAGAAACTTAGTTAAATTAATCATCTGAGATGGTACAGTGCCCAGATATGACACTTGATGATGACTAATTGTTTTTGAAAATAATTGCATATCAAGCTGCCCGTAAGGATGAAGAATAATTACCTGACCGCCTACCATTATAGTACCTAAAGTCTCGCTCAGATGTGCATCAAAAGTTACTGATGTGTGATGAAGTGAAGTGTCAGACGCTTCGATTATGTAAGATCTAATGTACAGCACGAAGTTACGATGGCGCAATTGAACCTGAAATTATTGAACCAAACAGAATATAGCATTGTTCTGTATTACTTAAATTAAATACACATACCGCTTTTGGTATGCCAGTTGAACCACTTGTGAAAATGATATAAGCAATATCATTGGGTGTCACTCTGACATCGGATAGTCGATCAATATCAACATCACTCTTTGAGTCATGATTAGTCAATATCGAATGAATATCAATCAAAACGATACCGTTATCATGAAAATTTGCTCTTGTCAACCAATGAATAAGCACAATACGACTTTGAGTTTGTTCTATAAGTGTATGCAAACGATTTTGTGGATCTCTAGGTGACAGTGGACAATATACACTTCCACTCATTTCAATAGCCATTATACCAATAATCTACGAAAAACAAACATACAAAATCTTCAATCAGACTAATCTCCATCATCGTAAACAATAACTCACCATCGATAAGCTTCTCTCTACACATTGACAGACGACTTCACCTGGAACTATGAGATACTTGTTCATAAGATGAGAAGATAAAACGTGTGCATAATGTAACAGTTCAGCATATGTAAGAGATTGCTCATCGAATTCAATAGCTAGTTTATGTGGATGTTGCATGACTTGATAAACAAACTCATGATGAATACAAGTGAGAGGAGATGGAAACGATACTTGTGTATTATTCAATGATTGCATTAGATATTGCTCATTTGATAATATTAATAATAATTCATGGATAGGTTTGTTTATTTGACTATTAAAAGATGTGAATTGTTGATGTAACATTGTCTGCAGTCTTTGTGCAATTACACAAACTGTTTCGACTTTGAATAAATCAAGTGAAGCATTGATGGTGCATGAGAATTCATTTAGATTTAGATCATGTTCAAAACTAAGAATAAAATCAAATTTACTCATTATTTCATCTTCACTAATATTAATCGAAGAAGGCATTAAAGAAAGTCGACTATCACCAATCACCATTTCATTCTTCTCATTTCTTCTGATAGACGATAGAAATTCAAATGATGTATCAAGAAATACAGGATTTGATATATTAGAATGTTGATTGAGAATACGTTGAAGTGGAAAATATGAATATTTAATGCAATTTATCATGATATCTTGAACGTGCTTAGTAAGTTTATGAAATGATAAATGAGGATCGAGTCGACATCGCAAAGGTATAGCATTCACAAACATTCCGATGATAAATCTAAGTTCATCTCTATATCGACCATGTGTATTAATTCCAATGCATAAATCTTTTTCTCCATTAGTTAATTTGAATAAGAACACATAGTAAATAGCAAGTGCAAGATGTTCCAGTGATATGTTATTTGATGATGCATAAATAAAAAAGTGATGTGAGAGATCTTGACCAAAATCAAAACAAATCGATGTTCCACGACCAGTTCGATGTTCATTTGCAAGGCGATATCGATCAAATGGTAATGATAAAGACTGATCGAGTTTACAATCATGAAGAGCATCAAGCCAAAACATACTCGCACCAGTCATTGACATTTGTTGTTCAATAACAGCATCTATTATATAATAAAGAAAAGAATGTATTAGGCAAAACATAAAAACTATTTGTGTTTACAATCGACATAACGAAGATTAGTGTTGTTATCATATAACAACTGAGCTGTTGTATATGCTTGATTGAGATCGTGAAGAAATGTATCCATTGATGGAAAATCAAATTGAGCATGATGAAAATTGAAAATGACTACATCTTTGTCAGAAAGTAGATCATTTGAAGAGATTGATTTGTGGTAAACAAGATAACATCGAAAGATAAGACCTTGAGAAAGATCAAAAAGTTGAGGGTTACGTATCTCATCATGTAAAATCTTATTAAGTTGTTCATCTGTTTCATAAGTGGTTTCGATGATTGAAAACAGATTATTATTTTTGTGTTCATGAGTAGTAACTCGTTGCATAAGTAGATTCTTGTCGATGTCAAAATGAAGTGATGTGTGAAGTGAGAGATGTTTGTTAACAGTGAGATGAAGAGCATGATGAAGTTGTTTGATCGATAAAGTATGGTCTGGTTGCAGACGATAAACAAAAGGCATGTTATAGATGGCTATTTGTGGTTTGTCTGGATCGAATCGAATTCTTTCGTCAAGCCAAATACGAGCTTGTGCAAATGATGCTGGTGCTAGAATAATGAGATGTTAGTGAATTATAATGTAAAATCTGGATATCCAAATGATATTTGATAATGGTATTGTAGTCACGTTTCATCTAATCGCCTCTCTAATTGAAAAGAATCTTGTATTAAGAGTGTTGGCTTACCATTTTCTGTTAGCAGAAATAAAAACTATTTTAATGCCGCAGTATGAAAAGCCAAACATCATATGATATTAAATTCTACTTCAAATGTTTGGGGAGCATTTTTAGCCTTCAAAAATTCGATTGAATGATTTCGACATGGGATGCTTTAAGCACATTAATAGACTACATACTAGTCTTATGTTATTGTTTATATAAAATAAAACGATAGTTTGACATTCTTATTAAGTTGGCGTTAACATAATGCAAGTACTAGCAGCTCTCTCAATAAAAAGTAAAATTTTTTACTGTTAGGAATTCATCTTTTAGAAATAAAACAGTAGTATTATTTTCCTAGTACGAATAGTCAGCTGACAGTCTCAGTTAATACTATTGCTAGTTCTTTATAAATCTTTCTTATTCACTGAGTATATCAAAGTTATTTCTCTAATTCATTCAAATGCACTCAAATATTTGATAAATTTGTCTCTTGATTTTGTTTTCTCTCTTTCTTCCTTGTATACTTCTTTTCATTATATATATTCTCCAAATCATCAGACAGTATTACAATACATTTGAAATAAAAACATAAGGTTACGTGACGAAATCGCTGTAGTTACTATATGAAAAATTTATTTTCAAAATAAGTTTATGCGATTGTATTCTTTTGACATGTATTACCAGATCACTAAAAGCTTTAGTTACTAGTCTGAAACTAAAATCTCTGCAACTGTATTAGAAGATAATCTGAATAAAATATTCATATGAAATAAGATATATAATCAATAGAAATATGCATAAAAAACTTTAACTATAATACGCAAATGTAGCATCTTTTATGACATCATACAATGATTTGATAGATATCTAAATAATTTCTAAGAGTTATATGCTGCCAATGTTTGACAACTTTTACAAGCTACACACGTACATCTAATGAGTGAGAACAACAAAAATATCTTTGTACTAGCTTATGTATAACATTGGAAGAAAACAAAAGCAAACAGAAATGTTAAATTGTAGAGAACTATCTGATGTAGGTGTTCTATGACTCTGAAACGCTTCCGTCCTGTGATTCTAATCCAATCATATGAATTTTTGTTTTTTCGCTTCGATTTCAGTTTCAACACCAAAAACTTCAATAATTTATTACTGATAACTAGTGATCTGTTACATACTTAGTACTTAGTTTACGTAGAAGTCAAAGAGTGCCAGTTTAGAAATAAACGGGCTTATGAAATGCTCTACTATCACAGTTGCTCTATTTCTTCAAAAACGAAAAATACAACTTTCGAGCAATGGTAAGTTTTATTTTTTGTTGATAAATAGAAAAATACAAGACTGTTCACATATTCAAAGAAGATAGTCATCAGCGATCTTTCCTTAAAAGTCACAAAACTAGTGCATCTGAAAAAGATTATCTGAATCAAAGACGATCACAACTCATTTGAGTCCCTATTTTCTCATTATTGATTCAACTGACTACTATTATAAAACAATAAAACAAGCTGCACACAATCATACCTTCATTCACAATATTATCCAATCGATGAAATACTACTAATTCCATTTCTTCAGCTTCTTCAGGAAGAATAAGAGACAGTTTGTTGATCGATGAATCCACATCCATCACAAAAATGTTGCTTGATTGTGTTTGAAACAATTGTTCAAACATATATTGAAATCTTTGAGCTATTTTTGAAATAGTTGACCTTTCAAACAAATCATGTGAACAAACTAAACTACATGATAATCTCTTGTTCTCTGGTAATGGATTATATACAAATGTTAATGAGAAGTCAAACTTAGACATTTCAACTGATTGTTCTAATGCCACTTCTTCTAAATTTGCATCATTCAAACATAAATGTTCAACATCTTTTGACACACTGATCAAGTCGAATATTGTCTCAAGAAATGATACATTCGATTGACTTGATCGATTATCACCAAGAATATGTTGTAATGGATAATGAGAATGTTCAAGAATTGATAAACATTTTTCTCGTACATGTTTAACTACTTCATCAAATGACCAATGACAATCAATTTCTAAACGATATGGCAATGTCGAAACAAACATTCCTATCATTTTCACTAATTCACTTCGATATCGATTAGCATTGATAGAAGAAATACATAAATCAGTCTCACCATGAGTTAATTTGAATAGGAAGGCATAAAATATGGATAATCCAAGTTGAAAAAGTGTGAGATGATGTGATGATGCATAGTTTAGAAATGATGTGCATAGTTCATTATCAAAAGTGATTTCAGCTGTAGATGCTAAACCTGATCGTTGTTGACTAGTTGATGAACGTTGTCGATCAACTGGTAGTGATAATGAACATTCGATATTGTATCTTTCAAGTTGAGAATGCCAGAACTCACGAGATAATGACATATCCATGACATGTTCATGAACAGAATAATCTATATAATTTGATGCATTTTCATCCATAGATAATGAGTCATGAGATTGATAAGCAAGAGAAAGATCACGAAGGAAGATTGATGTTGATGCTCCATCAAACATTGCATGATGAATACTAATCATTATGTGATCATTTTCAGTCAGCAGATCATCGCTCTCACGCGAACTATTATCTTGAGATTGATGATAATGACGCAGAATATGACAACGAATAACACGTCCTTTTGATAAATCAAATAAATCAGATTGATTTAATATTTCTTCTATACTTTCATTCATATGACGATGATCATTAATAAGAATATTAACGATTGTGAATCCATATGATTTTATGTCACCATCCAGAATGATATTTGCATCTAAACACTGTTGTGTGATATTATTATTGGTATCGTCGATATAAAGTGCTGTTCGAAGAATATTATGTCTTGTGATCACACTTTGAAATGCATGATGTAATCGAGTAATTGATATATGATCATTCATAGATGGTATACGATAAAATAATGGAATAGCATACATATTATTCATCGTTGTTTTGCTGGATGAAAAACGGATTTGTTCGTCTAAGAAGATGCGTTCTTGTGCAAATGATGCTCTAGCTACAATGAGATGTAATGAGAACCAAGGATGATCATCGAGAGTGTAGATGGTATTGATAGATTGTTGAATGAGTTGAGCATGATGAATAATTGTTGGATGTTGAAATAGATTCGAAATAGAAAGAGTGCTTGTTTCTAAATGAAATTCGATCTTATATCGATGAAAAAGTTGCATTATAAGTAATGAATGACCACCGATAGTAAAGATATTTGTATCAGTTGAGATTTGATTTAGTTTGAATATCTCACACCAAATATGATGAATACTAATTTCAATATCGTTTGTTGGTGATAATAGTTCTATACTGTTTGTGAGATGTATAGATGGGAAGTTAGGTGGTGGAAGGACTTTTCGATCTATTTTTCCATTTGGATTCAGAGGTAGTTTGTCAAGTATAATGAATATTGATGGAATCATATGTGGTGGAAGATGAGATTGACAATGTTCACGCAATGCCTGCTCATTGATATCAGAACTTTGAACATATGCAACTAAATGATCATTATTCCATTTTATGACAACAGAAGCAGATACAGATGTATTATTAAGTAAGCATCTTTCGATTTCACCAAGTTCAATTCGTTGTCCGTGAAGTTTGATTTGATGATCTTTTCTTCCTTGATAATGCAGAAGACCATCGCTGTCCATAGTAACAAGATCACCTGTTCGATAGAATAGTTGACCATCTATTTCAAGAAGAGCTTTTGCAGTTAAATCATCACAACCAAAATAACCAGCAAAGATGCCTACTCCTTTCACTAATATCTCTCCTTCTTTACCTACAATAAGAGATTGTCCGAAATCATCTTCGATCATACAGGAATAATTAGGTAGTGGTCTACCAAGTGGAATAGTCTCTGTATCTAGTTGTGAACTGACTCGATGAAATAAAGACTGAAGAGTTGTCTCTGCTGGTCCACATAAATTCCATATAGAACAGTCGTTATTTATAATGCTTTCTAATAACTCAACAAGTTGGACAGAGCAACGTTCGCCTAAGAAGAAAGAGAAGAACAATAAGAGACGGTAATAGTAAAATTCAGTAGTTATATATTTACCTCCAGTGCAAAGAGATCGCAAATATTGCATAATGTATGCTTTCTTAGTGTCTTTGATAAAATTAAAAAAGAGTGCCAGTAATGTGGGAACAGTATAAAGAAAAGTAATTTGTTTATTTTTCATAATCGTAGAAAGATATTCGAAATCGACGTTGCCTCGTGGATGTAACATAATTACTATGGCTCCTATTATTAATGCTCCTAAGATTTCCTGTACATGAAGATCAAACGAACATCGCGCCATTTGTATAATGGTATCGTTTTTGTTAAATATATCAACATGTGCCAAAGACTGTATTGATCGAGTAAAATTTCTATGTCGAAGTTGAGCCTATAAACAATGATATTTACAGTAGTGGCCAAAAGTACTCCCCCCCTTGTATCTCAGCCATTAC